AATGTAATTTCTCATACATTATTTGTTTTGTGCAGCTGGGGCAACAGGAATGAGACAAATTTTGGAATATAAAGTGGTAGGTTTATTTTAGCATCCATCTCACAAGCGTTTCTTTTTGTACCTTGAGCAAAAGCCCTATTTATACATATGTGTGCGTCACGAGGCCCATCCAATCAGCGATATTAATTGAAATCACGAGGTGATGCTATCTTCTCATCAGGAGTGTTCTTAAGGACTTTATGTAATATGACAGATTTACGAGTTTGGTGATTTGGCAGGCGCCAACAGGTTAATATATTTTATACTAAAGAAAGGATTTCGCCAAAATTTAGGAACAGGGATGCAATTTAGGTAGAGAATCGCCAACACATTACTAAGCAATATTATTAGAATTTAATTTAATGAATTGATTTAAAAATATCATTACAGATTATCCCCCCCCCCATCTGAAAAGGCTTGCAGTCGCGGCCATCGACCCAAGACAGTCCAGATAGTGAGAGCAGAAAATTTAGTTATTAGGAAATTAATTGAGTAGGAAAACTGATTGGATTTACCTCAAGGCACACAAAATGTTTACATAAAATATGACATAAAATATTTGAATATAATTAATACAGTATATAAAATATAATAAATGATTAATGAAATTATAATATAGTAACTAAGTGCAGAACAAATAAAGCACAAATAACATATTGCTGGTTAGCTATGTGGCAATAGGAAATAGTATTACAACTGAATTTGTAAGTTTATATCTTAGGGCATGCCATTCATAGTTTGTGGATGAGTCCATACAATCATTAGAGTTGTCATTCAGGCTCATCTTCAGTCTTTTACTGGTCTTTGGAGATCTCCGGATCATTTAATTAGTGCTAGAATTATGGATTAGCATTGGCACTGAAAACATTTGAGTTTTTATGTCATGATACTAGAGCTCTTATACTCTTGTTGAAAATATACATTTTGCTAGGTTTTTAACATATTTTGTCACTCTATTTTTCTCTTATTAATGATAACAAAACAAAATTTAACTTCCAACATCCATACCAGTTTTTGTACACGATGCTGCAGAAACATAAAATGAAATTCAGAAGTTTCAACAACTGAAATTTAACTTTTTCCACTGTTGCTACAATTTATAACACAAACATAGGAAAACATCAGCTCAAGGAAATGTGAGGGTATAGTACTCTACTTGTAGTATAGCCTCAATTGAGTGTTTCCTACACGGAAAGTGCATTGAACCTGAAACTCAAGTTTGAAGGAGCCCAGTAGAAGAAAAGGGCAGACAAACTTTTTAGACACTGACAGATAAATCAACTATTAAGGGGGACAACAGGATGAAAACTAAAAGAAGGGTTACTGAAAATGATCTAACTCTTTGTACTTTTAAACGTAATTGTCTAGCTGTTTTGGAAGAAATTATTGATATGGTGGCACCACTGTCTACAACACACTCTAGACGTTTCTTGTTGGACAAATATCCCGACACCTTTAATAGTCAAATACTGTGAGGGGTTTCTGGGGTTGGTTCTATTGTAAGAGGGTGTAACATTAGGTGTAGCATTAGGTGTATCAGATCTCTTGCCTCTGAAAGGACAAACCTGAAACCAGTAAAAAGCATTTGGGATTTTGTTCCGGGTGCAAAGTCTACAGGGACTGGGTGGCAATGGCAATCTATTTTGAGAATTATAATTATGATGGCTTGTAAATCTTGGACCACTGAACCAATTATAAAAATTACTTGGTCTCTGAAAACGTTGGAAATTTTTGGGTCTAGGAGAATCTTGTGTCACAGTAGTTTCATAGCTTGAAGCTGAAATTCTACTTCTATTAAATCGATTGTAATCTTGGGGACTGTTCCCAATCGGAGTAGAACAAATCTGGGAGGTGCACTTTTGATTTGTTGATTTTCGCTAATCTTAATAAGCTTATGGACATGAAGTAAGCCAAGAGATGGGGTCAGAGGGTGCGTTGATCGTCATTAAGGATTTTAATTCTATAGGAAGGCCATCCGTCAGACCCTCCAAGATCATTTCATGAGTTAGATTTAATTTTTTACCAATATCTAATTTTTTGCGAAAAATATTGCATTATGTCCTCTTTGTTATGGTGTACTTGTAAATTGGCAAAAATCACCAAACGTAGTTAAAGTGGGGTCGAAAAAATTTTCCTTTAAAATTTGGACTAATTCCACATATTTAGTAATTTCATGGCAGTTTTTGACATATACGCTAAGTGCATTACCTTTTAGATATCGAGCTACATTATTAAGCTTCCACGTTTCACCTTTATCTAAATGAGTTTTGTTAAAGTACTCAAGCCATGAATTTATATCCATATCATTCTGTGCGTCAAAGGGAATTATACTTGCTTCAGGTTCAGCGCTAGCTGCCCTTAATGAATGAATCATCAGGATCAGAGATGTTTTCATTAGCCATTATTCTCTTAATAATACTTTCATAAATAAAACTAACTCAAAAATAATACTCTTTAAATTTTCCCAAAACAATATTAAAACCAAAATACATCCTTTAAATACCAAATTTAAAATACCAAAATATTTTAAAATTTTCAAAATCAGTAATTATAATTCAATAGTAATAATATCATTTGCATCGCCAATCTTTTTACTAATTGCTTCTGTTTGACTTATTGTGACGAGAATACGAGTGATGAAATCGACACGAAAATACACATTTTTTGTGCACTCTTGATTAGATTTTCGCAAAACACGATCAATCACCACACAAGCACAAAGCTCTCGAGAGCAACACAGAACGGCGTAGACGTAGGGAAAGATTTCCATCCTCAAAAGTAGGTCAACGGTAAGAGCACATTTGATGAACGACGAACTTTCGATGGAAACACAGATCACGCATCACAGGGGGCAGAAGGATGCTTCTCTGGACGTAAAATAATCTTCTCTGGACAAAATAACATGCTTCTCTGGACGTAAAATAAGATGCTTCTCTGGAGTCAAATAATCTGCAGAATAAGAATATAGTTAACAGAAGGATGATTCTCTTGAAGCAAGAACGCCTAGAGAAAAATGTAGAAACATAGAAGTCGCACAGCGGCAAATTCATCTAAAGTGCGTAACATTTTATCCGTATAATCCTTGGGGTATCTTCTTTTTGAGATAATCCCTTTGAAGGTGGTATCCTACTGGCTTTCTGAAATGTAATTTCTCATACATTATTTGTTTTGTGCAGCCGGGGCAACAGGAATGAGACAAATTTTGGAATATAAAGTGGTAGGTTTATTTTAGCATCCATTTCACAAGCTTTCACTTTATATTCCAAAATTTGTCTCATTCTTTTTGTACCTTGAGCAGAAGCCCTATTTATACATATGTGTGCGTCACGAGGCCCATCCAATCAGCGATATTAATTGAAATCACGAGGTGACGCTATCTTCTCATCAAAAGTGTTCTTAAGGACTTTATGTAATATGACAGATTTATGAGTTTGGCAATTTGGCGGGCGCCAACAGGTTAATATATTTTATACTAAAGAAAGGATTTCGCCAAAATTTAGGAACAGGGATGCAATTTAGGTAGAGAATCGCCAACACATTACTAAGCAATATTATTAGAATTTAATTTAATCAATTGATTTAAAAATATCATTACATATATATTGTTATAAAATGTACATGCGCGGTAAGATGGCTTCCCCGCAAAGCAGTTTAAGGTTTTTGGTTGCCATAAATTGGCATGGGAAGGCAGGGTTGCCATATTTGGTGAGAAAATCGTCCATTTGGCGACAGTTGGTGACAAAATTGGCGATATGCCATGGAGGGATGGAGAACTTTCTGGAACGAATTCTTATCGGTTTACCCAGAATGCTCTCGAACACAAGCCGAAAGCTATATAAACCCTGCTGGTACGTGGAGAGTTAGTATCGATTGTGTGCCTTGCCTAGCGAGCTGACAGAGAGTGCGAGTTAGTTAGTACCGAGTTGGTGTCTCGTTAAGTTGCGAATTGGTGTTGCAGCGAGTCAATCAGAGTTGCAGCCAGGAAGCGGATGCCGAGTGTGGCGTCGAGTTCATCAAAGGAGTCTCTTAGTGTATTGCGGTTAGTGCATCGCCGAGAGACCGTATTCAGCTCTGGAAACGATTGAACCAAAGAGTTGGGAGCCATGATCTGTGTGTCGTCAAGTGCATTGCGAGTTGTAGCGTGGAGAGTCTCGGGAGTACATGGAGTTCCGAGAACGACCAAGCTGAGTCGGGAGCTGTACTCTAGTGCTTTGCCGTGAAGCTGTCTCCACCATGATAGCCTGATAATCTGGGGGCTGTGTCGCTGATCGTGTTTATAGTAGTTCATCGACAACTGTAAAAAGGTGTTTTGGAGCTGCCCTGACAATACTGACCAATAAGGTGTGTTTCGATACTCCATTAAGTAGTATTGTCATTATTTACTCCAAATCTACAAACCCCGTACGAATGTGAAGGAAGAAAATAACATAACAACTGGTGTCAGAAAAGAAAAACGCAACAATTGATGTCAGAAGAAAAACATAACAATACATATATATATATATTTTTAAAGAAAAGGCAAAGAATTTATTTGATAATCTGTGAAACTTCAGAACTTTATATTGGATACATTTTTAGACGTTGAAAGCTTTAATGAATGTCAAACAGCCAGAAATGTTAATAATTTCATATTAAAAGTTCCCCATCTCCTTCTTTACTCCACTTGACAGTGCAAAGAGTAAAATTATAATACTTTTAGTCTGTTTTGTTAAATAAAGTTACACACAAAAAATTGTTTCAACATTAAATTTTAAAAAAAAATCTAAATCCAATTTTGAAAAAAAGGCTTCAACACATCATGTTATCATCCACAAAAATTTGAACTCAAGTGTTTATCAAAAAATAACTTTAAAATCAACAACAAAGTTTTGATCATAGCTACAAACACCATGCATGAGATAAGTAAAAGCTTATTTAAAAAAAGGAACATTAAATATATATAATCCATAATATTATTTTACCTAGGCCAGTCAAATCCATTTTCACGTGAAACTTCATCTACATCAGGATCAACTGAAACTCTTACGAATGATATAGGTTTTTCGGTTTCGGATAAAGCAAAGAGACCTTTTATGAAAATAAAAATAAATAACATAAAAATGCATATTAATTCCAGATATTATGAACAACATTCTTTCCTGAAGTCAGTAGAAATATACAAGAACTTTACAATTAACATATCAATTTTTGATCAAAATCAAATTAAAAATTCCTGAAAATAAATCAGAAATGTATCATTATAAAGAAGGAAACATTAATTTGAACATTAAAAAAATTACAAAAACTTAAAACTATTTAAATTCATTACTGACCTGAAAGGTAGGATGAATAATATTAGTAATTCATAAAATACCTTAAATTCATATTTGGCTGCATTATTCAAGATGAATTATTTTAAAAGTTTCCATTTCTTGATATTTTAGTGAAATATATATGAATCTAACTTATGTATGTCTGTGCATGCGTCAAACAGTTGGGTAACAATGGTAAACAATTTTCAGTTTGCCATAATTCAAAACTTTTCGGTAAATTTGAGGGAGGATAATTTTTTTATTAAAATCTGTCTTTAATCACGAATTCAATTAATTACTATAGTTCCATCTACATTTACAGTTGATATAGCAATATATATATTTCAATCATCAAAAATGATTTTAACAATTAAGATTTCATTTCATTTATTTTTCAAATTATTTATAAATTTCTTTACATTTGCCTTCAAGTTATTTTTCCCTTTTTACAAACATGTGTAATTCTTTCTTCACATGCCAGGTTTGAATCTTTCCTAAATTTTGATCTACCAAGCATAAGCAAGCCTTCAGTTTTACTTGAAACAATCAATAATTACTTTACATTATCAACAATGATATTATGAGATATGTTCTTCCAATACAATTCGGCGACTGGATTCTGCTGCTAATAGGCCCACATTAAAATCATACAGCAAACAACTCCAAGCAAGTGCCTTTGACATGTCCATTTCAATCTGTCACTGTGTTAGTTATATTTGAAGTACTGATGCAACATGCTTTTATACTCTTGATCAATGTCCAGAATCCCATCCTAACCACTTCATTGCCAGGTTTGGCAACTATTTTTATGTTGGGGTTCAGTCTACCGATGTCATATCAGAAACGGCAAGAACTTTTTTGTGCATTTTCAACTATTATTGCAATATAAAAGGGATGAAAGATTTCTCAACTCATTAAAATACCTAAATGCTTCTATAAAACATTGGATTCTGGAACAATCATACTGGAATTAAAGGAAGTGAAGATTGGTTTCAACCATATTTAGAAGAAAATGCAATTTTATGTCTCGGGAGGAAAATCCTTAACCAATCAATGTCAACAACTTGTAAGCAGAAAACTCTTGAAACAAAAAATCTAGTTTTTAATATGAACTTTTAAAAAAAATGAACTACCTGAGACTAACAAATCATTGTGTAACCCAGTAAAACCAAAGTAACAATCCTGAATGAACCTGTTATGAGTAAAGAAATAAAAGTGTTTGTTTAAACGAAACACAAAATGTGTTTGTTTAAAGAGTGAGGGAAATTAGCTTATTTCAATGCAAGGGAAATGAAATTCATGAAGTCTAGTTTGTAAATATCTTAATGCAGCCTCCAGTGGTGAATAATGATTTTACATCAAAAGAAATCATGAGTAAATTTCTAAGAGAAATGCTTTTAATTTTTTTTACAAACTCTATTGAATTGTTTATGGTGTAATGTTATTATCTAATAGAGTTGAAAATCTAGAAACTACATATTTAGCTAATGAGCACAAGGCAGTGCCTAAATTTGATACAATAGGGTGGAAAATAATACCAATTTTATGAATTTTGGGAAGAGCATCTCACACAATTCACAACCGATGAGATAAGCGACTGTTTTAAGTTGGTCGAAAGGATTTGTGAATATTTGATCACAATTTCTATTTTTGAGAGGTCCGAAGGTGAAGGGTCTTAAAGGATTGGATTATATGATCCTTCTTTTAAGTGTTTAGTGACACAATCGATGTAAGTGTTCTTGTCCATGATGACTATCTGGCCACTTTTGTCAGCCTTTAAAATGAGATAATGTCTCTGAATTAGATTGAATTTTGTGCATTGTAGCTTTTTCTCTCACATTTAGGTTTGGTTTCAAAGTCTTATTGTTGAATTTCACATTATGAGCGATAAGATGCCTAATTATTGCTTTCTTTGAATTTGAAACCTTACCGAATTTGAAAGCTTTTCCAATATGAGCCAAAACCTTTGAAATCGAGGGTTTTGAGGTTTGTGAGAAGTTAAAAATTATATTTCAGAATTTTCTCTTGTTCTGATAAACTATCACTACAAATATTAACTATTAGCTTAATATTTACAAAGGGAAGATTTTTCAAACTACTTAAATTGGAAGACTGTGAAAGAAATTTTTCGAATCTAAATGCAAAGGTGTTTTTATGATGGTTAACCTCATTCTTAGTTCTAGACTAAGACTTATATTCAATGGCAGTGAATTTTGAATATGAATTAGCAAGTTCCAGATGAAGCTTATATAGCTCCTGTTCAATTCTGGATAACTGTTGACATGTATCCCTTTGGACCAAAGGAAAGCAAGTTTGCAGTTTAAGAGAATTCTTGAAATATGATTGGATGATTTTTATTAGATTTGATTTGAATGAAATTGGGGATCATTTTTTTAAGTTCCCACTTCAGTAAAAAGTCAAGGCGATTCTGAAATTTCTGCCGTTTAAGGCATAATTTAGTGAAACGATTAATGGATGAAGGCATGATAAATAATGCAGAAAATCAAACTAAATTAACTAACCAGTAATAAAGCTCAAATATCAGAAAACTTTCACATTAGAAAATAAGTTCTTTCAACAATGAATTCCACTGATCCTGCTATTCAGTTCACTTTTGAACTTGAGGCATGCAATTCTCTTCCATTCCTTGATATTTTGTCACATGTAACTCGTTTAACTTCAGTACTATGGTTTACCGTAAACCTTCATCGGTTTGCTTCCACCTCACTTTAAATCATGTCATCCGACTAAACAAAAGTTAGCTTCATTTTATTCCTATGTTTTCCATGCACTTCAAGTGTACTCCTTCAATTTGGCTCTTGATCTAAAACTAAATTATTTAAAAGCAGTAGCTACTGACAAGGGCTTTCCCCCCAACATTATTAATCACGCAGTTAAAAAATTATCACCTCAACATACCAAAAGGCACGCTCTTGTTTTAGAAGATTATAAGAATTCTGTTGTCAGTCCTTTCTTTCCATCAATTAGCTATAAAATTGCACGTATTTTACAGAAATCTAACTTTCAGGTAATTTATTCTCTTATCAATAAAATTCCAAGTTCCATACTCAAGGACCTTATTCTGGATATGAATTCCTGGGGTATTTACAGGATTCCTTGGTGTGGTCTAATTTACATTAGTCAAACTAAGACAGCCTTAAAATTAGTCCAACTAAAACAGCATTAAGGAACATGAGGCATATGTTAGAAAAAAGGAAAAACAGAAGTCCTCTGTTGCCCAGCATTGTTGGTCTGAAAATTGCACATTCAATTTTTCTGCAGCCAAAATTATTCAAAAAACATCTTCCACTGGCGAATTAGATTCTCTAGACGCGATTCACATTCAAAAAAAAATTTTTTTTTCTATTCTAGTTAACGACCCTAATTCCAATCCATGTTTGCCTTCAGTCTTTAGGGAAATTATATTTTAGTTCTTGTTTCATCAATAGATGGCGACAGTAGCCATTCTTATCTAATCACTAACTCTTGTCCAGCCATTCTTATCTTATCTAATAACTATACCTTATCTCCTTCATTTGCGCTTTGGGAGCTGAGGATGATGGTTCGGTAAAACCATCGGAAACTAGTCCTGGGAAAATTTGCAAATATAATTCTGATTTTTTGCTTGACTTCTAAATTAATAAGATTTATCAGATATTGTGAATAAAAAATTGCATCAAACTATTTTCCTGTTCGATAAAAGATTAGAAAACCTCAAGGGGAAGGGAGAAAAAAAAAACCCTTAGAACCAATTAAAAAAAGGAATTTTGAATTAAAAGATGAAATACTAGTTTCTCAATATCCACGAAGAATTCCTTTTGCTGAACAAAAAATTTATTAATACACAAATGAATAGTTAAGAGATGGGATTATTAAGCCTTCCTGGTTCTGAACATTTTTCACAAATTGTTCTTTGTAAAAAAAAGAACTTTGTATTTATGCTTCTACCTCAAGTAGTTAAAAGATTCACTCCCTGCAGCTCAAGTAGAGGAAGTTTTAACCACTTGGGTGAAGTTTCAAATCACCCGGGTGAGGTTAAATCACCTGGCTGAAATCATCAAGTTTTCAGCCTTGGACTTAAAACTGACTTAAAACATATTCCTGTAGAAGAAATAAAGAACAAAGTATTTGGCACTTATTACCCACCCAGGTCTTTATGAATTTTTAAGAGCTTTCTACCAGTTATAGTATATTTCAAAGATACAATTACAATATACTTAGAAATCTACTGCAAGATAACGCAGATATATTTTACATGGATAGTTTTCTAACATAGTTATGCAATGAAGAAAAGGGGTTTGCAAAAGCTAAAACATGTTTTAGAAGATGACTACAAATTAATTTTAAGAAATGTCAGTCCTTAGAAAGAATTTCTTGAGTACATTGAAGATGGTATAATTCATCATCTCCTAAAAAGGACATCATAGTTCAAACTTTTTCACAGCCCCCAAAACATCAAGAAAATTCAGAGTTTCTTAGGTTTGACAGAAACCTTTAATAAATTTATCAAAAACTATGCTAAAATTACTAAAATACTGTGCGAAGTGCTGATGCAAGCAGCAATAGCTTTGGCACTATGTTATTGCAAAAATCTCAAGGTGACATAATATTCACTTTCTGAGCAACTTCCCCAACATGAAAAGCTATGAATTTCAGGAACTACCTCTTCGGGTCCAAAATCTAGATATTAACAGACTAGAATGCTTTTCAGAAGATCTACTTCTCAAGGTGGCAAGATGCAACCTTACTTTTGGAAGAACTTGATTAGAGCGTCATTCATAGATTAATTATATTGGGCAAAAAATGAAACATGTGGACATGTTAAATAGAAATGTGGTTTTGATAGCTAATCATCCTGAAGGAGAAGTCACAGCCAAAATTGCAGATGCATAAGATGCTGAGGAGCCTCTCCAGTTACTAAAATCCACACTTAAGCAAGCTCATAAGGAAGGCTACTTAGTGAAAAATAACATGCTATACAAGGATGAAAATAGCCAAGAACTACAAGTACTACCCGAGAGGAGCATGGAAACAGAAATCATCCCTAACACCTATAACAAGGGACACTGTGCTGGCCAAAATAGATCTGCTGAAGAGAGACTTTTTCATTCTTAACTATAAAATGTGAATAGCACAAGTCATAGAGAATTATATAGATTGTACTTTATGTGACAGAAAATGTAAGAGTATGCTTAAGCCAATACCCAAAGAAAACCTAAATTTAAGTACACTTCTCATAAATTTTATTGGGTTACTGTTGACAAACAAGAACTAAAACCATACTTTATCAGGTATCAATGCATTTACAAAATTCATCTGGCTGTATCCCATAAAGTCAACATCAGCCCTACATGCACTGCAGAAGCTGAGATTCCAAAAACAGATCTCTGAAAATTCCTTTCAGATAATTATGGGCAGCTACAGCTTTCACCTCAAAGGAATTCACAGGTTTGAAGACAAATGCACAGAGAAGAAACTCCAGTACATGTTCTTGACCACAGGTATTCCATGAGGAATTGCTCAACTAAAGTAGATCTATTCAGTTTTGATTCCCGACTTATGCAGTTTGATTCCCGACCATGAAATATGAAAAACTGAGTTGTCCACCAAAACCTTACCCACAAAAATGGCAAAAGTATGTTGTGGATGTCCCACATCTTAACAGCACCACCTGCAGAAGTAATAAGGGCTCCTTTTCTAAAAGGCCTCTTTTAAGCTCCTAATTAGCATGAAAATAAAAAAATGGAGAGAATCTGAAACAATAGCTATTATAAAGAACCAAGAAGATATAAGAGAAGAGACAAAGATGAACCTTTAAGAATATGAGAAGAAAACAGGCATACAACATGAGACTTTAATATTAAAGACTGGTAGCCATTTCTTTTCCATTCTAGGAATACTTCCTACCTGAAGGAATGCAATTATGCTTTTAAGGAAGTATCTGTGATGAGTTACAAACAAGTGGTTTTGTTCTGACTTTTGATCTGAGCAGGTGCTTAGTTTTTCTTTAAGGAATCAATGGTTATTACTGGAGAATACAAACAACCGAAATTAGTAGTAAATTTTAGAAATTTGTAAAAGTTACTGCTCATTCCTGTTGTTCAAACTTTTCAATAATTGTTATTAGCCCAAAGAACATTAGCCCAGAATGGCTATTAATTTTGTTTTGGCATTTCACTATAAACAGCATTTCACATTTCAAATTGTTGCCACCAGATTTTATTGCCCTGTATTACATTTAAAGAAATTAAATAATGAAGAATCTGCATAAATGTATGCATGTTTCTCACACTGTGATAAAACAACTATACCTAGAGCCATCAAATTTTCAATAATATGATATAACCTTTTACCTGAATATGGGTATCTGGAAGCCCAAATTTGGAATTTGTTTTATTATCTATTTCATAATTTATAAAGCATTCATGAGTTTTTAATTACGAAACTCAATGATTTCAAAGCAAGCAATAGGCAACACTGTATGGGGGGAAATAATCTCCTGTGCACAAGACTGTGTATCAGAAATTCCAAAGATATGCTTTTTTTTAATTATTTTGCGATATCACTGTTGAATTTAATTTTATGGTTAAGTGCGAAGAACTTAACCATAAAATTAAATTCAACAGTAGCACTGTATGGGTAACAGTAACACTGTATGGGCGGGGGAATTATTTCCTGTGCACAAGACTGTGCATCAGAAATTCCAAAGATATGCTCTTTTAAAATTATTTTGAGATATCACTGTTGAATTTAATTTTATGGTTAAGTGCGAAGAATATGATATTTAATAAATAAAGGTAACATAACTTTGGGTATAATATAAAATCTGAAAGTTTTCATATATATATATATATTGGTGTTTACTTTAATCAATAAGTAGTACTTTATGTACTCCATTTACCATGTGAATGTGTCTAAATAAAATAGTGGTTGTTATTAAAAAAGTGGTTTACTTTACTAAGTTATATAAATTAAGCTAAGAAGCAACTATATGCATAATTTCAACAAAAAAATCAACATGCATAGCTTAGTAATTCTGGTAATCTCCTTCAATGCCTAATTTTTAATTACTTTCCTTTTTTAAAAAGATTTTTTTATGTAATATTAAATATAGTTTATTCTGCAGAGGAGAGAAGGAAACATAGCTAGAAAAAAAATTTATTAGCTGGCAACCTTGAAATATGAAAACCTGGAGTTTCTCATAAAAACTGAACTTTCCGAGAGGTATTTGCACTGTGCAGCAGCAGGTACTTATCAGATTACTTTTACAAGTAGGATTAACATCTTACATATTAATATGATACAAATTCTCAGGTAATGCATTAAAAATAAAGGGAATTTAAAAAAACTATTTAAACAAAATTTATAAATAAGTGACTATTACCATGGAAATCGCGACACTGAATTTCATATCTTGTCTGAAATAGAGCTCCGTCTACAGTAGTTGCAAATGTAACATCCTTCATAACCATAATTAAAATCTCTTTGTGAAGATTTTGTTGCCACCATGGAACACGCTCCATGTCATGGACAGAGCGTAAATCAGGTATAGGAAACCTTAATACACAAAATAAAGCAGAAATGAATTATTAACAAATAAAATATTTTGGCTAGAAATACAAACATTCATATATAGTATATATATATATATTATATATATATATTATTTCCTGTGCACAAGACTGTGCATCAGAAATTCCAAAGATATGCTCTTTTAAAATTATTTTGAGATATCACTGTTGAATTTAATTTTATGGTTAAGTGCGAAGAATATGATATTTCTTAAATGTTAATACTTAAATGTTAATTTCTAAGGGTACCACTTTATTGGAATTACTTTTGGTTTTGACTTTTACCCTTGCCTGCAAGAATGACGAAACACGAATTGAATGATTGGAGAGTTAGGTTTGGAGGCAACTTCCCCTTGATAAGTCTGTCTCCTGCCTACTCTACGGTCATTCCATATGCCTTTTTTTAAAAAAATTGTTTAATTTAATTTTAATTTATTAAATTAGTAGATTTATTTTCATGGATAGATTTGCACTTGATTTGCTTATGCTTCTGAATTTAAATGATATTGTAGATTAGTTCAAGAATTAAATCTTTTACATGTTTTGCACATTTTTTTAAAATTATTTTAAATTATTTTGGCTTTTTTTCCTTTTTTTTAGAATTTAAATTTGCCTTTTTTTTTATACGTATTTTGTCAAGAATTTAAATTTGTTTAAATTTAAATTTCATTCCTTGCAGCAATGGTGCAAAGGATATTTAATTAAATATGTATTTAAATTTTTTTTTATTAAGTTTCAATTTATTCTTATTAAACAATTTTGTTTGTACTTAGCAGCTTTAGTGCTAATTGCTGGTTTGTTTCTCTTTTATTAAAAACAACTTTCTTTTTCTAATAGTTTTGTTTTTATTTTAAACTCGCTCTCTAAATAATTTAGTTTAATTAACTTAAATAGTTTAATACAATAGTTGATTTTTATTAATTTAGTGAATTAATTAGCAATAACATTTAAATTCCCAGTTTTTTAAATTTTTCTGTCCAAAATTGAAATAAGAATTTTTACTTTAAAATTCACTGTATTGTAGGTTAGCTCCTCTTTACTTTTATACGGCTCGTATCAATCACTAAATTCCATAAATGTCATTCTAGCAATGACTTACTTGTAAAGTAGAAATATGCCTTTTAATATCACAGCCATAAACAACTCCACTTTGAAAACTTATAATTGCATTTATCTCATCACTTGTAACACATGAAATCTTAAATATGTTGGACAAACAAAAAATAGTCTTAATATTAACAACCACAGAGGACACATTAAAAAATTTGCAACTACTAGTTTTAGCACACTTAATACAGCTGAATTAGAACATTTCAATACATGATTTCAAAAAATTAATATTGAAATTTTGGACATTATACCTGAATACAAAGTTAGATTATTTCAAGAGTCACTCTACATGCTTAAATTCAAAACACTTTACCCTTATGGACTCAATACATTCAACCAACACATTAAATTAAATTCTGAAATTCCAACTTACAGCCATTTAAATTATTCAGTAAAAAAACATTACGAGGAACCAGAGCAGGTAATACCAAAAATAAACTTCTTTCAACATAGATACAAAAAAATTAAGCAATAATATAAATAATTACTTTCTTACTGATAATTTCACTAAAAATATAATACTTGATCAAACCTTATTATTGACTTTTGCAATATAAGTTCTTCTACAAATACAAATACAATAATATTACTGCAAAATCAATTTCCTTCATCTAACTATGATCATATTTCAATTTAGCAAAATTTTAGAAAAAGTCAACACTTTTTCCAGCGACCAAGTACAGATCTCACCAGCTTTTCAAGTATCAAACCCTTAGTAAATGCTTAACCACCATGAATTAGTTCTACAAGCCCGATACTGTAAAGAGCTTCATCAAAGTTTTCATAGATAATTTCATCAACATATTATTACAGCCATTTAGCAATAGTTCAAAACCAACATTTAGAATTTTAATGGAAAAAGGTACCAAATTTAGACCAGTACTAAAAATTAACAAATCACAGTTTAAAAGTTTCGTAAAAAATATAGCACGAATTTATAGTTAAAACTAGTTTCAAATTAAATATTTCCAAATTCTACCTTTATGGCATGGAACATGCAGTTTAGAAGAATTCAAACAAAAAATTCGAAGAACTGAATT